CACATGAAAGGAACAGGAGAGAAAGACAAAGCGTACTAAAGGGATGCAGGTCAGAAAGCCATTTAATTCATAAATGAAGACATGTGGATGGGCAAATTTTATAAATGAAAGCAATCTGGCAAAATCCCTTGGTGGTGAGCTTGGTCTCCCCCACAGGCAATGACAGCCTTGGTCATGGGTCTGGATAACACACAATTCCAATGCAGGCTAGGAGGACATTACAGTGAGCTGGGAGAATCAGTGAGCAGAAAGTACAGACCCAAGAGAGGCATAGGGAATGCACCCTGTGCCCCCAAGTGCAGTGCATCAGAGAGATCAGAACAGAGACGAGATGAGGAGCTCGTGGCTTCTGGTAGCCTAGCTTAGAGCACGCTTACTGCTCACCATCTTACTGTCCATCGTTTTAAGTCAAACATCTCCAGTTCAGTGAGAGTGTACATTTTCCAATATTACAAAAATAAGGAAAGATGGGGTAACTGCTAAAGCCTGAGCGAGAAAAGCTTCCAGGAACTGTTTTTCAGAAACACCGATGTACATTTGCCAAGCGCAGGCACTGTGTTTCTCCAGGCAGGTGGGCAGGCCATTGTCAGGGTTTGCAGGAAGACACAACAGCCAGAGTTGTGCAGCCTCAACCCTGGCTCCCATACAGAGCAAACGTGTAACGGATTAAATATTTATCTATTGTCCTGTCCACCTCAATAAAGTATCACACTCCTTTAAGCGGTTGCCTTAATGATGTTTGTGTGTCTTGGAATGTCGGTCTGTGCTAATAAATTGCATCTGAAGATGCAAAAACATGAAGATCAATACAAATACATGGAAAGTCTGCTTCATTGATAAAACATCATTTATCTTAATAAAGGGTGCTTCTCTGAATTTCCTAAGTACCCTTCCAAATGCCAGCATCAAAGCCAGTGCCCATATGTGTGTAGAAGGTTCAGGAGGGTTCAAGGGATTCAAGGCAAGAACACAGACTGCTCAGCCAAGGGGCCACTGAGAAGCAGCATTCGGGGCCTGCTACCCACTGGACTGGTTTCCAAGCATATTTCTGGAATTTCAAAACTTCCAGTGAAAATAATATACGGACCCTTGAACAACATAGATTTGGACTGGGTGGGTCCACTTGTTCATGGATTTTTTTCTGCCTCTGCCACCCCTCAGACAGCAAGACCAACCCCTCCTCCTCCGCCTCAGCCTACTCAGTGTGATGACCATGAGGATGAGAACCTTTATGGTGATCTGCTTTCCCTTAGTGAATAGTAAATATATTTTCTCTTCCTTATGATTTTCTTAGTAACATTTTCTTTTCTCCAGGTTACTTTATGGCAAGGATATAGTATATGATGCATATAACATATAAGATACGTGTTCATTGACTGTGTTCAGTAAGGCGTCTGGTCAACGGGGGCTACTATAGTTAAAGTTTTGGAGGAGTCAAAAGTTATACGCAAATTTTCAGCTGCTCCGGGGCCGGTGCCCATATCATTCAAAGATCAACTGTATGTTCACATGAGTTGTTTCAGCAAACATTGTGAAGCATTAATTAAGTGACCCCTTTTAGTAGACTTTATATAATGTGGTGGGCATTGTAGCAGTTATAGTTCATGCTGATTCGTATGAATTTGGAAAATGTATTATTCTACATCCAGGAGGCTTACTTATAGTTTGTGAAGCGCACAGGCTGGATGGGGGCATTCCCTGTTCCCGCCATTGGTAAAACAGGGGTCCTCCTTCGAGGTGAGAATGCTGGAAGCACTGGATCCCATGGATCGGCGTTCTGGCCTGGTAGGTCCGTTATTTCCTTCCCTGCACACATGCAACCTCGTCCAGTCTGTCCAGTTCCCTTAACTCTTCTCAGGACACATTGTGGAGAGGCTGGGGTAGTCCAGGAGCTCCTGCCCATCAGCAGCAGCAGGGAGCTCAGAGCTACGGGCTGCCCAGCGGCTGCTGAGATTAGATTGGTGCTGAGGCAGGCAGAGGTTTGATCTCCTCTCCTGGTCTCCTCCGCTCCCCAGCTAGGACCATGGTAGAACACGAGAAGAGCAGTCCCAGACTCCATATTGCTGATGTAGCTTTCCCCAGAGTTTTCCTACACAGTGGGACACTTTAAAAGGTAAATGGCAACCTGTTTTTTAAATGATAAAAATCGGTGCTCCCGATGCCTGTGATCGGATCCGTCTTCTCCCTCACTCTGTATCCTTTAGCCATTCTGGCTTTCTGTAGCTCCTCCGGGTAGCCAGGTCTTCTTGTCTGGGGATCCTCCTCTGTGCTGCCCCCTGGAGTGGCAGGCTCTTCACTGGAGTAGCTCCATGATTGAGGTGTTACTTTAAAATGTCACTTTGCCAGAGACTACTCATGATCTCAAATCTACATGAGACCTCTTTCATAGATTTTAGTACTTCTCCATTGCGATCATCACAATTTGTAACTAACATCGATTCATAGTTTTTTTTATCTGTCTCCCCTGCTAGACTGTAAGCTCTCACCCCTGGACATGCTGCACTCAACACATACTTGCCAAATACATGACTAAATGAAGGCCTGACTTCAGAGCACTAATCCTGGAAATTTCTCAGGGGACAGACGTATCCTGTGATCCAACAAGATTGGGACCCATTGTACCCTGCTGTCTTCCCTTAGAGAGTCCTAATATGCATTATGTGGGGGACTCTGAGGTGGGCTCCAGTTAGAAAACAAAAAGCCTCAGTAAGCTAACTTCATCTCATGTTTCGTAAATGTATTTTCATGCAACTTTTTTTTTTCATTTAACATTTACTAATATCCTGTAGAATTTATTCCAAGAGATGCTTTCTTGAAGCATCCTACTGGGAAGCCTGAGGTTTTCAAGGTTGTCAGGCGTGGTTTGGGGGCTGCTCACCCTGCACTGGGCACCCTCACAGTTGCATTGCTGTCATCATGAACACATGAACACACGTGTACATATTCATATATGCAACTACCACTGTAGGAAAGCATGGGGTATAAGCACAGCTTGGAGCTAGCCTGGGCTTATAGTTTTCAGGAAGCAGAGAGTAAAAAGCAATAGAAACTCTAGTATTTGTAAATGCAGCCTTTGTGGTTACGATTGTGAATAACTTATACTGAGTTGCCTTTTGGTAAGACCCAAATCTGCAAGTATTTGGGAGGCTGATGTGTGGAGGCAGGTCCTGTAGGTGGTGAGTCAGTCCACCTACCCTCCCAGCCTTGCATTTCAATGCAGCTATTTGTTTTCAGCAGTTGCAGCAATTCTCTTGGATTTCCCAATGGAGCTAAGCAAATTTTAGGGAGGAAATGACCTGCAATCTTGGAATTAGCGAAGGTTTCAGGACATGTCCCTTTTGCCGATCTAGGATGTATTAAAGGTAAGATTCCTGAGGTGGAGCTGTATTAAAGCCCGGGACCTCAAATTGGTTTCGATCAGCCTCCACTTAGGCAGGGCAAAACTGCTTTACCTACTGACTCCATCTAGTCTTATTTTCCAGTGGAAAAATAAATGAGTGATAATTTGTGGGGAGTGGGTGATATACACATTTGCTCAAGCACCGGACTATGGATGATTCCTATTTGAACCACAATGTATATATGTCTTAGAGTCTAGTTATTGAAAAATTACAGCTCCAGAATACCGCGGATGCAAATAAGCTTCAAGTATACTCTGTAGGGTTAACCAGGCAACCCACAATAAAATAAACTGATAAGAATAATGCAAGCTAACAGTAATTCATAATTAAAAAGTATCGATAGCAGCAATTGAAAATCACAACCAACTCAAGGCAACACTGATGACGTGCTGATAAAGAAACCTTCTCCCAGATCGGGAAATGTCATCTCCGTGCCTGCACATGTGAAACTGGAGCCTTCTAAAACAGCAGGCAAGCACTGTATTGCCGGCAGCTAGATTTTACAGCACAGTATTATAGGGTGTGTGGTAACCCTTGTGATGCTGAGTGGATTATAAATTAGTAGCACTGGTCCTATGTAAAAATGAAACCTTCATCAATCTGCATACAATTCACCATCATGTTCCAAAAGAGGACTTAAAAACGTTCAGTTCAAGGCACATGAGGGTGCCTCTGGTAATGTGCCCCAGCCTCTGGTCCCACACCCCATAAGTTTTACTCTCTACCTTTGAAATCATTGTCTAGGCAGCCTTTCCTCCTCTGGCCAGGGCTTTTTTCCTTTCCTAGCTCAAGCAGACTGGAGATATGCATCTGGATGTATGAAGGGCTCAGAGGCTTATTTTAAAATGTGAAAGGAGTCCTTTTAATAACGAGGGCAATGTAATATCCAAGATATAACATTAAGTGATAAAAAAACAATGTGTGTGACAATGTGTATAACATCCTACTTATATTTTTAAAAGCCCACAGACTTCATACGTATGTTTGTGCTTTACATGCCTGCAGTATCTCTGGCAGTATGTATAAGAAATGGATCAAAAGAGTTGCCTCCAGGAAGAGGTAATGGCTGCTGGAGGAGAGAGGGGAGGCTTAGGTTTTCCACTAGATACCTATTTGCGCTTTTATAATTTTGTACCATTTATGTATTAACCATTAAAAATAATTATGAATTTAAATTTGAAGAAAAAACAAAACCCAGTGAGCCTATAAAGTGTTGATTCTCATTTCCCTTTCTTTTTTTCTTTTAAAGATGAAGGTTAAGCTTGTTTTATTTATTGTTGATTCCTCTTCCGCCTTTCAAAGTCATGGTCATATATTAAGTAGGAGATTCCAGAATCTAAAGTAAAATATCAAAATGAGATGACAGTGTTAGAAAACCAGGCCCAGGACCTGGCATTCTGGGTCCTGGGCCTGAGGCAAAGAACTCAGTCCCAAAACACAATTTTCTGATAAATTAGACCTGTTATTTAAAAACTTTCCTAGTGTTCCAATGTATTTTCACAAGGTGTATATGTAAAATACAAAAGAAGCACTCTTAGCAAGAATACTTGTATATTTGTAACTTGAATGTAAGAAAAAAAGACCAAAAAAGAGACGAAATTCATAAAGCAAAGCATGTTTAAATGAATGTATTTCTCTTGTTTCATCCTGCTTCGGTATTGCTCAAGAAAATGAAGCAATTATTCATCTTGATTTGCTACCAGGAATTCTTAAAAAAGCAACAGAAATATTACACTATTTAGTGTTTCCTAATAAAAAATAAAATTTCACTAATTGTGTAAAAAAGAATTATATTCTTTTACATAGATCAACACAAAACAGTACATTGCCTATGTATGTTAAATGCTCATTACGCTGAGTGACAATTCTAAGGGTAAAGACATGTAGTAAATCTGAATTTTATGGGTCCTGACTTACTACAGATAGACAGTTTAGTAAGAAATAGTAAGAAGGCTGAAAGGAATGTTTTAGGCACTATGGGAGGCCTAACTTTGGGTGGTGTAGATACAGATCAAGATGAATTTCTCAAACTGGAAATGGGCTTTGTGGAATGGACATAAGTAATGACAAGGCAGTCACAGACTTCTGGAGGAGGGTAACTGGGCTGGTGTCTATCTGGCATATTTATGAACATTCCATAATGAGATGTAATATCAGCACAACTGATTATCTAGCCCAAGGCTTTGGTCAATTGACAGCTACAAGTGTTAAGTACCACAAGCCCCACCTCTGTATGTTTAGAGTGCAAATATTTTCCCCATGCTTCTCGTCCCCTAGTCACTGTCCACCCCCTCTGCCCCTTCCCTATTCTTACAGGACCTAGCAGGCTGGCACGCTGGAGCTCTGTATTTCAAAGGTAGGTTCACAGGGAGGAGATACAAGTAACCACAAGCCCTGGAGTAACCCACACAAAGAAACTGCTTGGCTTGGTCTAAATGACTTAAATATTTCCTCGCCTGGAATTAGCTGGTAATTGCATGTGGGCAGACTTAGCCAGAACAGTCCAAATGATCAATTAGAAGGCAAAAAATTAGTTTCTTTCTTTAAAGTTCAAGGGTCCCTGTTGAAGAGCCCTACTTCCGAAGCGATGCTCACAAGGGTCCGTGCCCAGCTCTCTGCGGTGCCTGAGCATATTGTACATTTGCTTAATGATAATGAATTTAGTACTTACTTTGCAGGAAAATATAGGGCATTTCCATTACATGCAATCAAGCAAAAAGGCTGCAAAATGTGCCACTCCATTAATTCTAAGCAGAATCCTTCTCAAATGTCACCCTGAAACTAGAGTACAGAGTTTTTATAAATCTGAAGGAATTAAGAGTAATTTTCATTTGTACAAAGGATCTGAGGGACATGACTCCTGCCACACACACACTATTAATTGGGTTAAATCCAATTTGCCAATTTCAGTGTGAATCACTAAGCTCTGACCTAGCTTCCCCAGTGGTGAGATCAGTAGGTTCTCATCTCTTTTGGCTCAGGTGTACATATGCACGTGCTCTTATGTGCACACGTATGCACAGCTTTAGAACATGCAAAGAACATGATGTAATTGACTCATTGTAAACATGTTGTCCAAAGAGGAAAAAAATGCCAACTTCTGGCAAGTCATTTAACCTCCGAGCCTTAGTTTCTTTATCTATAAAAGGGGACTGTAACACCTACTTCAGTGGGAGTCCTGAAGATTAATGGCCTTGAGTATATCAAAACAGAGCACTTAGCATGGTGCCTGACACATAGTTAGCACCCTCTGAATGGTAACTAGGATCTTTATTTTCATCTTGTGGGGACTCTCTTGCCTAAGCTAGTTCCCAGATCATGAGGGAAATCTGGACGTGGCACCGGGATGGGAACAACCTTCCCAACCTTCATTGCTAGGTTGGTCCCCAGGGCCTGGGAGGGACGGGTCAGCCCACTGAGTTATTGATCATTTCCTTCCTAATTTCAATTCCCACTATCTCTGGGTTGCAGCTGGACCGGTGGGATAGCACAGTGCAAGAGACAGGAATAAGCAGGTTAAGGCAGTTCAGAGGAGGGTCCAGTCTGCCAACAGCAAGAACTCCTGGGCAGTGGGGGCCCAGGGCAGCCCCTCACTCCACGTTCCGGTACTTGGTGAAGAGGTTGTACAACACTCGTAGTGTGGATTTCAGGTCACAGTTGACAATGTCTGTGTAGAAAACAAAAAACAACAATTGCTTCTGTGGGGCCACGTGTTCCAAAGCTGGCATACACTGTCCCTCCCTTCCACCCACCACCCATTCCTGTGCACCCAGCATGCTCAAGGGTGGATGGGTAGAGTGGGCAGCGAGGGTAGAGGTGCTGGGGCACAGCATCTCCTGATAAGGCCCGACTCTCCCCACAATCCCCACGTGTCCTAGGGGCTCTTTGCCCACTGCCTCCAGCCTCCAGCCTCCACCATAGCGCCAACCATGTGTGGTGGAAAGGAGGGGAAGGCTGGGGATACAGTGGGGGACAAGGGGGTGAATTAGGACTCAAGTTGCCTCATAGGAACGTGCCTAGCAGAGAAGGGGGACTTGCAAGGAGTACTCTGGAAGTAGGTGTCATGGGGGACAGACAGCTTCAGACTAAGAACAGAGCAAGGCAGAAGGGTTTGAGGCACTAAAACTTCAGCTGGAGGTTCCTCAGCTTCTATGCCACCATTCCCTTTCTCGTTCACTCCCTCTCTCACTCCCTCCCTCCCTCTGATCCTCCCTCCTTCCCTCCCTCCTTCTGATCCTCCCATCTTCCCTCCCTCCCTCC